TGCTGCTGCCCAGGCAGGGGCTGTGGCACAGGGGGCAGTGCCCAGTGTCCCCAGGACAGGAGAGAGAAGCCCCTGTGAGCCCCAGGGAAAAGGGAGATTAGCAAGTGGGGGCAGGAAAGTGATAATAGGTCTCCGGAGTTCAAGTAGAAAATTCACAGCCAACAGAGCAAGAGAGATTAAGGACAGCACTTAAGATAAATGTGTCTAAACAGGGATGGACAGACAGAGACAGGCATTCATCCTCACATTATATAGAATTGAATTAACTATGCAATTCCTCCCTGGGAAAACGCAGGTGGCAGGAGGCACCTTCATATGCCTTGGGAAATGAAGAGATTAATTCAATTTTAAAAATCCATACAGGTGTCTTCCTGACGAGACGCTGTCTCCGTGTGGACAGGCAGCGCGGTGGGTGTCTCCCGTGCTGGTGTGTGTAGGTAGCAGGAGAACAATGTGGAGGAAGGGGGGGTGTTCAAGAGAAACGTGTAGGATGATGAGGCGGACAGATCTGCTTCGTTTTTCCCCCACAGATGAACACCCACATTCCACCCGGCCCCGCCGGAGCCTCGCTCTGTGCGGCTGCTCGCAGGCCGGCGCCAGGCCCACCGGAACCGGGGTTCGCGTCCGTGCGAACACCGGGGGGCAGCGGGTCGAGGGGGTAGATACCGGGGCGCGGGGGGTGGGGGTGGTGAGAACTGGGTAGCAACAGCAACAGCCGAGCCCCACGGCCGTGACTTCAGTGGGAGGGCGCGACGGAAAATACACCAACCAAACAAGCCTGAATCATCCTGACTCGGGCGGCCCCGCTCTGCACCCAACGTATAAAATACAATTACAAACGACGAGACCAGAATATAAATACCGTCGGCCAAGTGCATGCGATGTTAAACACAAAGCTTGACTTTATAAATGGGTGGAATATCACGGCTGTATTCGTATCAATGTGCTGCCTGATAGACGCTCAAATTTCATCCGTCTCCCCGGCTCTGTGAGCGCTGTAATTAAGACAGGCAAACTCGCTTTAGGCGTGCTGGGGCCGGATCTGTGCGGCGGGGAGAGCGGCGTTAACACCGGCTGCTTGTGCGTGTAAAGCACCAGCCTATACAGTACGCCTCAAAAGCACACGGACGTAAAAGTGATTATGTAAATCGAGAAACTAAGCCTCTTGCAAATTGAAAATTAACATCTGTCTGCACGAGACGGCCGTTGCCTCCTCCAGCGAGGAAGTATATGAGCTACATTTGCAAACTGCAGTAGAAATCTATCAATATGCACGCATGCATAAGCGATACCAACAAGTCGTGCGCCAGGCTTACAGCAAAGACAATTAATACCCCACCAGCTGTAAATACATACGCTATAGAAAAGCCATAGAGTCTGGCACAAAAGGCCGGGAATTTAAAGTCCTTATAGATATATAATGTATTTAAAAGCACCTCTTTCCTAAAAGCATTATATTGACGAACGTCGGCTTTGGGATAAAATGACTAAGGATGAGAGAAAGAGCCTCAGAAAAGACACGAGAGTGTAAAACAGCGTCTTACCTGCTTCGCGCTCTTTGTGGTCGAGACAAAGGCTGTGAATTTAATTCCAGGCCATTTCTGCCCGCGTGTTGCAGTTAATAAAGATCGGACTGTGGAAGTGAAGTCAAGCGACATACAAAATAACCCCACTGGACGGACAAGCGCTTAAGAAACCATCAAACAGCACGAAAAAAAAAACGCGGCGTGCTTTGACGTCCCTTGTAAATAAAGCAATCTGATAAAATACCAATACAAATGAAAACAGAGACAAAAAAATCAAGCTTCTCGTCTGTTTTTTTTTTTTGTCTGCGCGTCCTGGTTAAGTCCTCAAAAACCGGGGGACGGACGGGGGACGGCCACCGGGATTCAACTCCGTCCAAAGGCTTGTTCCCGGGAGCAAGGCGGCCGCGGTCCGTGTCGCCGAGGGACCCCGCAAGCCCACACAGGGTTCAAGGGAAAACAGCGTTTCCTCCTTTTCCGTGTGCATGACATGTCTTCGGGTCTTCCATAGAGCCCTACACGCCCTCACAAGCCCACCCGACTGCGGGAGAGCCGACCGACACAAAGCGCAGCCGGAGACCGCGGGTCCTATTCCTGCTGCGCGGACGGCAACGCTCGCGTCTCGTCTAGGTGGGGAGACATCATCGCAGGAGTCCCAGCCGGCTTTGTTAACGTGAATATCTTTAAATCCCCGTTACCTCCGCGGACTGTCGCCGACGGCGCAGTCACGGCCGCTCGTCCCTCAGCCTCAAGGTGTCGACCCTCGGCGCTGCCATGGCGAGCAGGAACGTCTTCCTCTCTCACGGTCTCTCCGCCCGCAGCGCGCCCGGCTCGCCTGTCGGTCTCGGCACCGGCACCGCGACCATGCCGGGGTGAAGACGCGCACACGGCGCCTGTGCAGGTGCCCTATATTATTGTCTGAAAAGACTACGACTGGCACCCCGGCAGAAAACAAAATAACAACCGCCGTTTCGTCAGTCGTGCCGGAGTCTTGCCGAATACCGCTGCTGTGGCGAGATCCCGGGCTCGCAGGAATCCGAGCGCGCCTGCTCTTAATAAATAATGAAAGCGAAAATGTGACCACACACAAAAAAAAAAAAAAGCCGATGAAATGGCTGTTTGCGATGGTGAGTTGGGAACAGCGGCTCTTTCTCTGCGCTCGGCTTCGCCTCCGCTCGGAAAGGCACAGGCGCGACTCGGGAGTTTTCGGCGGAGGCTGAGGGATGTGGGCGCTGCGCTGTGGCGAACAGGGATTCGAGCGCCTTCAACAGCGTCCGCCGGGCACAGCCTGGAGCGCCGAGGGGCCTTGGACTGCTTCACCGCGGCTGGAAGAGCAGGGCGGAGCGCATCGCGGGGTTATCTCTTTCGTACGTGTTATGTCATCTTTGAACTCGCTCTCTCCCCTCGTTTCTAAGCGGAGAGCATGTCTCTCCAGCCCCCCGTATACACCGGCCCCAGGTTTGTCTTCCGCCGTGGCGTGTGGGTCGCTACCGAATCCCGCAAGGACGTCTAGCCGCGTTGTTAAATTAAAAAAAAACAAAACAAACAAAACAGATCCGCGATCCTACAGAAATCGCGGCCGGGACGATGCCCACGGTAGCGCGGCGGCGGACAGCGAGCCCGTGTGGACACCGGCGGCGGCGGACAGCGCCCCTAGCGGCGGCGGCGCGCCCGCAACAGGTGCAAGGCCTCGCGTGTCACCCTGCGCGCCGCCTCCCCGCACCGCGAAGCGGCTGATTTATTCATTATTCTGATTATGATGATAATGACGACAAAGAGAGTTTTATTCTCCTCGCGCTCGCTGTCGCAAATCGTTTGAAACAGCGCGCTTATGCCTTTAGGCTTTTAAACCGCAGGATATTCATGAGGGAGCGTCGCGTTAGTACCCGGATTGTATATTTTTTATAATAATGGAATACATTTGTGGAATCGTGACGCTGCCTGTGGGTCTTTGTCGCTTCTAGCGCGGAGCATGAGCTACCAGTCGGTCTGCGTCTCCCGCCACTGTCAACAGAAGACCGGGTTCACGCCGGAGAGCCTTTAGTTTGGTACCTAGTAGCTGACTAATCCAAGGATCACATCCAAGTGCTTCTCGAAAGAAACAGGGTTTTGGGTGGCTGGATAAACGCGTTCCACACTCCCACCACTCTTCATGTAAGTAAGTGCCCCTGTTCTGGGTTTTAAATGCGTAGGTCCCTCGTGTGGATCCTGAAGAGGCGCGCCGGGTGGACTTCGTCAGAACAGACGTGTGGCTGCAGCTAACGCTCACGAGAATGACGGCGACGATGAGGCGGGCCGCTACCAGCAGTACAGCAGTAGCAGACCAGACCTTTCCTCCTCGTGTTGTGCCCTGGGGCCGAAGGCTGGTTTGGCACGGTCTGGGCCACGACAGCGCACCTGGCGGGGGGGTCAAACCGCGCGCAGCGGGGCAGTCCGAGACACCGCGAGACCGCAGGACCCTGCAGCGAACTGTGGGAAGAAGATCATTGGAGCCTCCCTCCCTCCCTTCCATTTCTGTCACCTGTCACAAATGCTGCTCCCACAGGGCCCCCAGTATAGGAGATGACCCCTCCCACCCCTCCCATGAACTTTTTGCCCTCCTACCCCCTGGGAAAAGATATCACAGTGTACGGGCCAGCTCCACCCAACTCTGGAACAGCTTCTTCCACAGGCTGTCAGGCTCCTGAACACCATGGAATCTACTGGTACCCACCCCAATTCCAGAAACGGGGTTTAAATCCCCCCAGTGTGTTGTGTATAGTGTGTTATGTATGGGGGTGGTGGCTCTGTGGCTCAGGGTCTGCGCCTGTGGCTGGAAGGTTGCTGGTTCAAATCCCGCGGCTGGCAGAGGAATCCTACTCCGTTGGGCCCCTGAGCAAGGCCCTTCACCCCAGCTGCTCCAGGGGCGCTGTACAATGACTGACCCTGCGCTCTGACCCCCAGCTTCTCTCCCTCTCTGTGCGTCTGTGTCTCATGGAGAGCAAGCTGGGGTATGTGAAGTTCCTAATGCAATAAATTGTATAGGGCTATCTGCACTTTGCACTATGTGTATCTCGTCTACAACGTCTATGTCAGTGTCCTGTCTGGATTTGCATCGTGGACCAGGAGGAACGATATTGCGTTCCACTGTGTACTTGCATCTGCGTTCAAGATCAGACCGTCTGAACAGCCGGACAGTCTGACTGGTATGTTCGAGGGCGACATTTCAAATCCGGCTGTCTGGTTTGTCAATGATGCTGAATTTAGGATTGTTCGTCTTTCAGCTTAAACGCGGTATTAAACTCCAGTCCGGTCCGGGTGGGTGGCTGGTAAAAACCAGTAATATGCTCCGACACTTTTCTGAACCAGAGGGGCAGAGTGTACTTGTGATGAGCTCTTAACATTGATCGTCACGGCTATGATGACGTTTGTACAATTTGTATTTGAATTCATGACGTATTACAGTGTTCCACGCTACGTGACGCCTGTCTTCCGCAGCGGAGCTCGGTCTGTTGACTCGTCTAAAGCTGAGCTCAGTTAGAAACAGACTTTTTCAAGAAGAGGGGCCTCAGACACGTGATCCGGGCGCACAGCTGCCCTCCGCCGTCTCTAGCTTTCATCCCCTCGGCCGAGTTTGCCAGATCCTCAGCGTTTAGTCTCTCCGTGAAGCTCGGTAACCGTTTTGTCTCGGCTTGACTCGACACTCAGCCGCGTCACCTCATGCTGGTGACAACAGCTGTCAGAACCGCTGGATGCCAACGGGAGCAGATGGCGATGCGAGGAGGAGGAGGAGGGGGAGGGGCGGAGTGTCTGCTGCACTGATGCGCTCCAGCCCTAGAAACTCCGGAGCTCAGCTTCGGCGCCAGTACCAGACAGGAAGGGACCGTGACACCTCTGCCAGCTGGAGCTCCTGGGCAGAACGAACCGCAGAGCACTGGAGGGGCAAGGAGGGGCAGGAGGGCAAGAGGAAAGGAGGGGCAGGAGGAAAGGGGGACCAGGAGGGGGAGGAGGTAAAGAGGGCTCAGCTCTGGAAGTCCATCTCACTTACGAGTGCCGGACGACGTGTGAGGACCAGTGAGACAGGAAGAGGGTTTTTAGTGCCACAGACAAGGCGTGAATAATCGTGAGCATCAGGGGGTGTGTAAATAAACCCACTCAGGGAGAACATCTCTGTACCTGTCCTGCGTATCTTTGTAAGAGGGATTGGATTTGCCCCCAGGTGGGGTGCAGAGATATTGGCTCTCCAGTTCCTGACTCACGAGTGACTCCTGACAACAGCTGGCTCCGTTCCCAGCGAGCCCTGGCCACTCCCTCGGCTCTGGGCTTCCTGGGAATGTGGCAGGGTAACACGGACAGGGCTGTGGGCTCAGGGAGTCCGGAGTATGGGCCGGAGTGTTGGGACCGTGTCTCACCAGTGAACGAGACTTCCCGTCATCTCAGAAGAGCACCTCTCCCCTCCTCCTGCTCAGGGTCTTCCAGAGTCCGTGACGGCAGTCGGGGCGTGTGAGGCGAGGCGGACAGGCCCCTGTCATCCCTCCTGAGCTTTCTCTGGAAACTGCGTTAAAGCAGACTCCGCCGCCAGGCTCGTCCTCACAGAGAGGAGCTCCGCTGTGCTGCTGGTGGAGGTTGTGCTTTGAACAGAGGAGGTCCACACACAGGTGACCCAGGCTTACTTCATTTTCTAATAATAACTTACTGACTCAAATCCTTGAACGGGTACTGATGACTCACAGCGTAGGACATCTCATTTCAACTATTCGTGTTAATTGTCTGTGCGTGTTACACATGCATTCAGATTGCAGTATGTTTGAGATTCTCACCTCTCTCACTTCATGCAGCTCTCTCTCTGGCTCGTGTACTGTGGTTGACTTGAATATTTTAAAGGCGCACTGTCTCTTTAACTCTTTCCTGTACGGTACTCAAAGTCCCATTTGTTCTCCTTTTATACCTCATGTGTGGGCTATACACGGTGCTGTAATTTTCCAGTCCTGCAGAAAAGCTGCTGAAGAGCTCAGCGACTCTGAGACTGAATACCGGCTGTGAGAAACGGGGGAGGTAAATTCAGTGAGCACAGGGAACATCATTAACAAAACTACAATGTCACAGCTTCATGTTTACTTTTCCCAGAAACTAATCTTGACAGAACCTGATAAATGTAAGCTACCATCACATCAAACAGCAAAATAAAATAACCTGAGAGGTTCTGTGAAAATAAATATGTCTATTTTATATATGACCAGTGAAGCACAAACCAGAGGACACAAGTGGAAATTACATGGCAGTGCATGTCTAACCGAGAACAGGAGGCGCTTCTTTACACAAAGGGTTGTAGGAGAATGAAACAAGCTACCCAGGCATGTCGGTGGTGAAGCTGAGATCCTGTCTTCCTTCTGGAAATGGCTGGATCAATTAGCTACTTATTACCAAATGGGCTTTATGGGCTGAATGGCGTCCTTTTGTTTTTAACAGTTCTTACACTCTATATGCTGTATAGGTGAAAAAAAACCCCAACAAATTACAGATGTCAGATTACAAATAGCAGCATAAGAAGATAGATAGATGACAGGTGGATATAGATAGCACTTAAAATAGTGCTACAGTATACCTGAATACCTTTATAGTAGTATTATGAAACTCAAAGAAAGAAACAACATGTGTGCTCAGAAATTAGCTTCCAGACAAAATTGTGGTGGGTTTATTGTCTTCACACAAACACACAGTCATGAAATGGGCTCTGGCACTGCAGAGTCTTTTTAACACACAGCTCTTAGGACAAGCATATCCCAGCATGCTGAGGCCTGGTGAAAGCAGCAGGAAGGCTGCTCTGAAAAAAAAACGCTCTGCTGGTTTGACTATCACAAGCGAGTCTTAAGCACCGTCTTGCATCGACATTTTGAAAATCCAGAAATAAAAACAACAAATAACTCAAATTCACAGCAAGAGTGGACAACACAGAGAGGAATTCTCAAATTCACTGTGTCCAAGCAAACACAACAGAGACTGGAACTATCCTCTGTATTGTATCTATTTTAACAACCCAGAAACAGAATCTTCCACATTAAATTTCAAAGACATTTCACACGAGTATATATTCCTTTGTTTATTAAAATACTTGTATATATAAAGTAAGGAGACTATAGATAGTAGAAGTGATAAAAAGTGTAGCTTTTACATGTTTACCTTATAGCACAATCATTACAGCATCAGCAAGAATATGTCAGTTTCATGAGAACCACGTCAGCCCACATGTAGCTTTGATCAGGAAATAAAACAAACTTTCCGAAGGCTGAGAGAAGTGTTTTTCATGGTGACGGCCTGAACGTAGACCATTCACCTAAAAAAATCCAGTTTCTATCTTAGACACCAGCTTCTTGGCCAAACTCTAATGCCTAACCCACACTGCCTCCCTCTCTCTCTCCCAGTGCCTCGGCTCTAACCTCCACAATTAACTACAAGGAGAATCTGTGTCCCTTCTCTGTTGCTGAGCTCGATACACACGGGACTGTCATGCTGCCCACACACTAGACTAAGGCTGATGCAGGTGTACTGTCTCTCATCCCCTCAGCTCTGATCACTAGATGACATTGACACTGACACTTGCTAACTTTACGCGTAAAGCTACTGTCTCTTCATCCCTCTGTTTCTATCTAGGAAGGCACTCTGCTTCTCCGATTTATGGCTCATGCACGGAGTGCAGTCTTCACTTCAGCTGCACGGCTAAGGAAGACACCCCTGGCTCTGGCACTACAGAGTCTTTTTAACACACAGCTCTTAGGACAAGCATATCCCAGCATGCTGAGGCCTGGTGAAAGCAGCAGGAAGGCTGCTCTGAAAAAAAAAATGCTCTGCTGGTTTGACTATCACGAGCGAGTCTTAAGCACCATCTTGCATCAACGTTTTGAAAATCCCAGAAATAAAAAACGATAAATAGCTCGGATGCGCAGCATGAGTGGGAACAGGAAGTGGTGTGAAGTCAGGGCTGGAGAAGAGTTTTAAGACGAGGGGGCTGGTCTGCACACGAGCCCTGGGAAAGGAAACGGTTAAGCGATCCAGCTCATTCTCTTGAACGGGCCGTGTCCTCTGCTGGAAAGGCTCTTTCTCACGGTGGCGCCTGCTCTTCGTTGAGCGAAGCAAGCAATGAGACTGCTGTTGCTGACAAACATTGAATTTCCGAGGAAAAACATCACGTCATGAGTCATGAATCAAAGTGGAAATCACCATTATGCTTACATCTGAGGACACAAATATTGGCCCTGTCAAACAGTGGGGCAACAGGGAGGCTCAGTGGTCGGCATCACTGCCTCTCAGCGCTGGGGCCCTGGGCTCTATTCCCGACCTGGGCTGCTGTCTGTGTGGAGTCTGCATGTTCTCCATATGTTCACATTGGGTTTCCCCCAGGTGCTCTCACAGGACAGAGACATACTGGTAGGTTAATTGGCTTCTGGGAAAACTGGCCCTGGTGTGTGCATGTCTGTGTCTGTCCTGTGCTGGACTGGTGCCCAGTGCTTGCCGAGATAGACTCTGGCTCCCCCACGACGCCATACTGGATAAAGAGGTTAGAAAATAGATGGATGGATCTTAAAATAGTACACAGTTAACACATGTTGACTACCACTTGGCGAATGAACATCTAATAATCTTAAAAGAGGTAGAGCTGACAGTTACAGTTAATGTTTATTGCTGTTAAGTCAGTACCTTGTTTCAGACACAGCCAGGCTGGAAGTGCTTGAAACATGCTGAAACATGCACATAAGTATTAAACGAAACCCTTGCTTGTCAGGCTGGCTCTCTCCTGGCCACAGCCATCGTATTCGAGCAGTAACACTAGTATTACTGACCGGCCATCTATACTGTGTTTCAGTGGGGTCTGTTTGAAAACGGATTCAAAAGTACTGGAGCAGCTTCAAAACTTCCTTCCTTTGCAAAATGATGGTGCATCGTTGCAAATGGTACTGCAGATGACGCAAAGATGTAGGAATGTCCCTAGGGAGCCCCTCCCTCAGTTTACGGGGGTGGGTATGTGTGTGTGTTTCAGGCGAGGGCGGGGTTATGCTCTTGTTTTCCTGATTAAAAAAACAATTCAGTGAACTGATCGGGCAATACAAAATACCTTCCCATGATGGCTGTGCTTTTCCATAGTGATTCTATACAGTTACATTCACTTTGCCAATAAAGAAGCGTAAGAGTACCTCTTTACTGTATAATCTAGAATAACACAGGACAGTACCACATTCCAGGAGCACACGGAAGTTTGTCACTTCTGTCCTGCACCTCAGGAGCTGTTGCCTGCTATTGCAAGGGCTGTCATGGCTTTCCTGTTAGGATTTACAAAGGACAGGAGAATGTGCTCTGACTTCATCCAAGTTGCACTTTATAATGAGCACTGACTGAGCTACCCTGCGATACACCACGTAAGAGTCTGTTCCGTCTTCTTCAGGAGGAAAACCACTGTGCTTAAAGTGACAGTCGAATCCAGGACCACAGTCCCATGGAGAATTTCTTTCCAGCCAGTTAATGGCAAGATAAACATGCCGTCGAGCCTCTGTAGCCTTTAGACACTGCAGAGGAGTAACAGGCTGTGACTGACGACACTCTCGGAAACCTTATGCCTGCTCCAGCCAGATTTGAGACCTGCCACGTGGAAGATACAGGAGACCCAAAAATACAGCATTTTCTTTAGGTCCATAGTTTCAATAGATGAGTTCTTATATTTAACCTGCTCCTGCACATCTGTTGTACCTTAGGATCATTCTCATGAGTGCCATGTGTAGAGTTTAGGGGTGCCTGGGGTGCCCTGCGGTCGAGCTCTGCACTCGAGGTAAAGGTGCAGGAGCAGGGGCTGAAGAAGAGGGTCACTCAGACAGCCCCTGTACTAGGTATCAAGCAGACGTCTTATCTAGGCCCATGCAGTATATCCTGGACAGGCCTTTAAAGATGCCTCATCAACTAAAATAAATGAGAGAACTGAGCATCGAAACCCACCCTGATTACTCTGAGCGGATGCTGGTGATCTGTATTATTGTGTATGATTAGAGCTGTGACTTGATTTTTCTGTTGAACTACTATGAGCAGTTACCACACTGATCGAGCAGACTTGATCTTCCTGCGCAACATTTGTCAGGCTACTGCCATTTGACAATAAGGGGCAAGCTGCTATCGCACTTAAACACCTGAGACCACGGTCCGTGTCCGAGCCCTCTCGCACACACGTTAGGCAAATCGAACCTAGCCGTTTCTCGAAAAGAATCGAAAACCCTGATTTCCTGAAGCTGGCTGTCAGCTGTAACTGTTAGCCACTCCAGTATTGCACCCCCCTGCGGAAAGTACCACCCCAGACATCCTGATCAGCAGAGCTGCTCTGCTTCCTGCCCCCTTAGGAGGTGAACACAAGCACAGCTCAGTGCTGTGGGCTACATGCCACATGATTCTACACCCCGCCGTTCAGTCAAGAGAGCACACAACACCACCCAACTGGAGTTTGCTAAACTGCGCCTGTACTTGGAACAGAAAGGCATGGATGCTGGACGCTGGACGCTGGACGCTGCGGTCAGAAGCAGTGGGACAGGAGGTACACGGCTATGAAGAGGAAGATGGTGGGATTGTTCAGACCTACTGCCAGGCAGGCGGCGAGCCCCAGGACAGACAAGGACTGGATGAAGGCCTGGTTCAGTCGCTCCTGACTCTCTGCGTGCGGAGTCACCAGTCTCCACCGGGGGGCGCTCTGCTCTGTCCCTCCGGCCAGCGGGCCTGTGCTTGGGCGCGCCGCAGGTTCCTCCGTTCCTCCGTCGCCGTGGAGTTCCTGGTCCGCAGACTCCGCCATGCGCCGGTGCCCCTGCTGCCCCCTCGGCAGCGGACCCACCTGCTGCCTGGCTCTTTCCACAGAGGGGGAGCACGCTGCGAGACCGGGGGAGCCCCCTGTGGGGGCCCCCAGACCTGCTGCGCCGGCGTGCTCCTCTGGGACCGGTGCCGTGTCGGCCCCCGCCCGCCGGTGGGGCGTCAGCGCGGAGGGGAGCCCAGTCGCGGGCTCTGCCGGGCCCACATGCTGCTCTCCGGTGGGGCCCAGTCGGGTGACCCCAGGTGGGTGCCAGGGGCAGGAGGGCAACACGCCTGGCACCTCCTCCCCTCCGGCTTGAAGAGACTCCCCTGCTGGGCGTCCGCCATCCTCCCGGGCCGCGCCGAAGCTGGCGTCCAGCAGGGGGCAGCGGGGCGCCCGCTGGCCCTCCTCTCCGGCGCTCTGCGGCGGTGCTGCCCTCCCGCGGCTCCTCTCTGCCCTCGAGGCCTCGAGGATTTCCGCCACGAGACCTAGCTCCTCTGACTCGGGGTCCACGGGAATGTGGGGTGTCATCTCGGGGTTCGCCAGCAGAGGCGACTTGGCTGGGTCTGCATAGGGGCTCATAACTGTGGGTTTGGGGTGAGTGACTCCAGTCTCCCCCAGGGCTTGGGAGAGGACGTCCTGCACAGGCTGGCCGGCGACACCCCGACTGGCCGTGAGCTCTTTCACTGCGCAGGGGGACCAGGGGTCCCTCTCAAGGCGCCCTTCAGGATTGCGGGGTGTCTGTGCAGTAGGGGTCACTGTCACGGGCGAAGCTGTGACTGTGTTGGGTGGAAGGGGGATCTCGGGGCTCTCTGATGACCCCCAGTTCTCCCCGCAGGCCGGTGCTGATGGGAGCTGGGGGCTCTTCAGAGACGGAGTCACCTCTGTGAAAGCTGAATGGGGGTCTATGCTGAACTCGGGTGAAAGGCTGGGCTTAGACTTTGTGACCTGTGGGTGTAAACATGAAAAATAATAATAATCAAAGATCTGCTCTGGTTAAATACGCAAACAGGTTCTGCTTTGAGACTCTGAACCCCATAGCGAGAAATGAAGACGGGGGGCCGGGTAGATTAGTACAGATGCTTGGTTATTTGAGATATTATTTAGAACCACACTGTGGCTTCAACCACTTTCTGCGGTGTTTGCATGTGTCCTTGTTTGTGCCTGTGTTTGCAATTTGCAAAGAAACCAGATGCACAATCCCAGTATAACCAGAAGCAGTTCTGAGACGGAGCAGGAGTGTTGCCAGTTTCCTTTCCCTGGTCGTACCTCTGTGTACCGTGAGCAGTGCAGGACAGGGAAGTCCTGACACTGGCTCCTCCACACCCATGAATCAGACCTGACCAAATTCCCCGATTCCCATGAAAAACAGATTCCTTTCTGCACGTTAGCCAAGCTGCCCCTTTTTAAAACCTCACATCTGTGCATCATGGTGCAGGTGGGCACGTGCTCATCTCTGCCTCAGATACCAAGCTACTGGCACAAAAGGCTCACTGAGTCCACAGCTGAAGGCTTGGTGCTCTGGTGGGTTTGCCCTCGTTCCTATGGGCACCATCCCAGAGACCTGTGGCTGGAGCGGCAATGTGAGCTGACCTGTCCAGAGCCAAGACTGGCACGTCCACCCCCAGCTCAGCCCTGTCTCTGCCAGCTGGGAGCGATCAACACACCCTTGCTCTTCAGAGCCTCATGTCTCCACTGCATGGTGATGCTTCTTCAGGGGCGGCTGAATGAATGTGCCTGAGCTCCCAGCACACTCCGAGTAAAAACAGGGAAATGTGCACCTACACACCAGGAGAGGTGTAAGGATGGACTCGTCAGAATAATGTTCTGAGCTTTTCCAGCCCACCTTCTGCCTGGGCACAGCATTAACCCTGGGTGGTCTTTGTCATTTTCAGGTCGGCATCATTGTGCAGAAGTCTCTCTGGGAAGCTGGGCATGCTCACGAAACAACCATGTTCACAGTTTCAGGTGAAACACAGACAGAGGTCTGCACGATGCCGGGCAGCCCGTACACCCCTTGACCCCCTGTCAGGCACACACCTGTTACCATTCACGTGTTAGAACCCATTCCCTGCACTGGAGGGGGTCAAGGGTCAGCCTTGGCTGTTAGTAAAGCCGCAACAAACTGGTCTGCAGTCTTTAAGAGTTAATGTTTCCTGCTCAGACAGAATTTGCACTCAATGCGAATAACTAAGAGGTACAGCGCATATGCAAGGTTATTTTGTGTGTACGTTAGTCAGACTTCCAAATCTCCCATTAAATCTGTTACGTTTGGCAAGTTATTTGGGATCATTCAAGACCTGAATTAGTGAAAAGGTGGCTCTTTCATTCCAGGTTCCTGCCCTACATAGTTAAATAGTTAATTAAGCCTGGTCCTGCACTTCAAGTGCCTGACGCACTTATTGCAGAATGCACGTGGTTGTGTATCTGCCCTGAACAGCAGAGTGGAATGACCCAAGATGGGGAAACACTGTAAACTCGCATGGGACAAGACAAGACCGTGTGATGACTTTACACCAAGAAAAGACAAAAGAAGTTGGAGTGTTATTGAAATGGCAAGCAGGCAGAAAGCAAGCGAACGTTACCTAAATTGTTGCTGAAGCTTCAATGAGCTGTGATCAACAGAAAACATGACATTAGACAAGCAGCCAGGGACACAACTGCAGTGAAACGGCATTAATAAAAGATGTGGTCTTTTTGAGAAAGAAGGTTTTCAGTCCTTGTGAAATACATTGTGTTTTCCTTTTTTAAAACGTAGCGTGGTACGTCCTCACACAGACCCTAGACTACTGTCCCAAGTTATGAATTGCTGAGATCTGAGACTTCATCTCCTTGTTCTTTGAATCAGACACATGAGGGTCAAAGGCCCTCTTGGCTCTCACTGCCCGTGAAGTCTTAATTAGTTCATTAGCACCAACGAACCTCTTAATAGAGAGTTTGCCTTGCCTGGTGCTTATGAACCTAGTATTTTCTGTTTTTTGCCTAGTTACTGAACTGCCCCAGTAAAAATTGAGAATGTTAGAATGACTACAGATGAGAGGAGGCCAACTGGCCCATTTAGATCCCTGGGAATTCAGCAGCTGACTCTGGCTTTGTGTGAATGAAGCCAGAGTACCGGGTTTGAAACTTTCAAGAAATAGCTTAATAAACTTGCTTAGCTGTCTCTGCACTCCCGCAGATAACTGGACAACTCCCCCAGAGAGCTGAGCTTGACCAGAGACCGGAGGGTCAGTCAGGGCCAACCTGGAGCTCTGCCACAGGTGTAACCTGAATCGGGGTCCCATGTGGATGAGGCACAGGTCACCCCCCTCAGTGCTGGTGCTGCAGCAGTTTTTTGCTCATGAGAACAGTAGCTGTGCCCACATCAGGGAGGGGGCAGGCCTGTCAATTCTCCAGATGTTAATGGTCCCTCCGCAGGGAAAACAGAGTCTACATCACTAAACCCGTTACAAATTAACCTCATGCACTCAGACTTCAACGCACAGCAGTAAAGTATCCTGGTCCTGGAGAAGCAGAGCAGCAGCCGGCCAATGACCGACATCATGAGACAGCGAGGACAGCAGTCCTGCTCTGCACAGTGAGGACATCATGTCTCTCAGCACAGTGAGGACAGCAGTCCTGCTCTGCACAGCGAGGACATCATGTCTCTCAGCACAGCGAGGACAGCAGTCCTGCTCTGCACAGCGAGGACAGCAGTCCGAAGGAATGAGGAAGAGGTGTTATGGATGAGTGTTGCCTACAGCTGTCTGAGGGGAAGGGTAATGATGTGTAAGAGGGATAAAGCACAGAGCATTTTCTTTAAAGAAAAGCAGAAAGTAGGAGCTGCTGTCCTTAGGGTTTTTGTGGGGGTGGGCGCCCAAACCTCCAGCACTCTCACCTCTATATCGATTTGTGGGTGAACAGGCACGGGTCGCAGCACGTCCGCCTCGCTCACTGCTCTCCGGGGGCTCTCTGGGGGAAAGAACACGCAGCAGTGAGACGGGGGTGTTCCCAGCTCGGCTCACTCCCTGCAGCTCGCGACAGCGAGAACTGCTGAGGCGCGGCGAGGACAATGAGCTGGAAACTGTCTGGAAAGACATGGGAAACACGGGGAACACGGGGAGCCCCCTCTGTCTCAGGGAGCTGAGGTTCCTACAGATACAGGACACTGCCCTTCCTTTGTGCTGGAGCAAAGTCCAGGCATCACCTACAATATTCAGAGTGTACAGGTTTTACCGATTCAAGTATCTTCTACATCTGAAAGACATGAAATAACCTCACTCTGTCAGTCAGAAGTGTTTCAGAAGTAAAGCTACAATAATTTCACATAACTGCACATCTTTTTAATATTGTAACTCCTCACAGATATGCTGCATTAATCACTATTTTTTTACCACATGAGCATGTTGACAGTGAATTATACTCATGCAATTAAATATTAAATATATATTTCCTGGCAAAAACATTCTAACTCCAGGTGTACCTGTGCCTGTGCAGGGCCTCTCCTGCCTGAACCAGACGCCCTGGACTCCAGCAGGTTTGGAAATACAGTGAAAAGCATAAGCAGTGGGACAGTCCTGTGAAATTTCATTTTTGCTGTGTACTTACAAAATGTGTATTTCAGAATAAAAGATAACAGTGAGGCCATAGTACAGAATGCCAGCTGTTGTTTCTGGGTGTTATTTTGCAGTCATGTTAGAACAATGTCACTAGCCATATTCTCAGAGCTCTGGACAAGGTGTCCTAGAACCTTACACCAGCCCACCTAACGAGTTTCTATCCTTCCTCGTGCTGCTGGAAAATCTGGACAGCAAGAAACACTCCCATCAAATTCAGAAACAGCCCCCAAGGTCCACTCACCCTGCTCCCGCCTCATCACAGCTTCCATGTGATCGTCTTCGCACTCCACTCCTGCTCTGGAAAGAAAAGGGAACACAGAGACCTCAGATCCACAGCTCACTGGGCCCAGGTCCAACCCACTGTCCCCACACGGGCCTGCAGGTCTCACTGTCCCCACACGGGCCTGCAGGTCCCACTGTCCCCACACGGGCCTGAGGTCTCACTGTCCCCACACGGGCCTGAGGTCTCACTGTCCCCACACGGGCCTGCAGATCTCACTGTCCCCACACAGGCCTGCAGGTCCCACTGTCCCCACACGGGCCTGCAGGTCTCACTGTCCCCACACAGGCCTGAGGTCTCACTGTCCCAACACGGGCCTGCAGGTCTCACTGTCCCCACACGGGCCTGCAGGTCCCACTGTCCCCACACGGGCCTGAGGTCTCACTGCCTGTCTCTGTGCTCAGGGAACAGGGGAGGGGGGGGGCTTCCTATCAGAGCAAATCTCAGCCCTTCAGCCTGACATTTCCACGGCTTCACTAAGGAATCCGCTCCCTGTCCTAATTCGTCCTTCTGTGTATGCAGTTGATTTATAGCGCTCTTCGGTCACATGAAGCTTCACAGTGATGAAGTGCTTTTTCCTTCCACTGGGCTGCTGCTTCAGTGTCAGTCAAGTCTTAACAACAGGTGGAGCACTAAAGCCTCTGGCAGGCTGAGCTCGCCTGGAGGGGGAGGGGGGGGGAAGGACAGCTCATGTTTGTCAAATAACTAGCTTGTCCACCAGGCTAGGAAAAGGCCAGGGGTCAAGCAGGGTTTGTCAAGTCCGTAGATCTCCTTAGCCAAGCTGTTATCTTGGGATTTGTCAGAAAAGCTGGCCAGGCCTGTGCAGAATGTAGGATTAGATTAGTCCCAGAGCCCTGCTGCCTTTTGACTGGGATTTTTGAGAACTCTGCTGGGGCTCAGCCTTCCAGGCAACAGCAGCAATGCTGAGCTACAGCACCATAAAAAACACAGAAGACACAGCAACACAGTATAGTAAGGCTCATCCTGGCAGACTGAGCAGGGGCCTTATACAAATACAGAAAGCTGATGCTGACACACCAGGACAAACAGCTTTTCATATTGATGTTTTCATACTGCTGTCGTTATGCGAAGGCCTACGCTGATAGCTGAGGGTTCGAGCCGAAGAACAGGAAGAAATCAAAACCTCCCATGGGCAAAAGGCAAATCACAATCACAACTAGTGACACGGGCCGGCACAGAGATCTTTACGCCAGCAGGCTGCACTAGTGACACAGGCCGTGCACAGCACAGAGCTCTTTACGCCAGCAGACCACACTAGTGACGAGGGCTGTGCACAGCACAGAGCTCTTTACGCCAGCAAGCTGCACTAGTGACACGGGCCGTGCACAGCGCAAAGCTCTGTACGCCAGCAGGCTGCGCTAGTGACACAGGCCATGCACAATGCATGTTCACAATTACATTACGGTTGTCTGTCCTGTTGCAACTGTTTTGGACCATCTAAATATGCGTATACATATGTGGAGTTCTGTTTTTGTACATATTGATTATATAGCTTGCATCATATATAATCGTGGTGAACATGTTCTAATCTGCCCTTTCAGAAATAAACAGCAAATCACACATGCCCTAAGACTAAGAGGCTATAGATCAAGAATTAAATGCAAGAAACCTTTTAATAGAGTCCCAACTTTTAAAGGATGTCTAACACAACTGAAGAGTCTCGGGGAGTGTTCAAGAAAGCGTTTGCAAGGTCTGACTGCGGACTACCTCCGTGCACCTGCCCACCATCTATCCGCAGCTCCGGGCCTTGCTCACCGCGGAGGAGCAGGAGCCTATCCCAGTACGCAGTGGGCGCCAGGCAGGGCACGGTCTGCTGGGCACACACACAGACACACACTCACACCACGGCCCAGTTTCCACAAACAAATTCAACTAGTTCATCTTCGGACAAAGAGAAAATGGTAAGAAAGAAGGTCTAAGGATGACAGTTACACAGTTGTGTCGCTACTGTACCTACTAGAGCTCTCAAACTGCAATCAGCTGCTCTTTAATAAGATCATCTGAAATCTCGTATACATTTTTCTTGACCAAAGCATCAGAACATTGGAACAGCAAAAAGGCTATTTGACCCACGGTGCTCAGTCGGTTCTGTCCCCTGCCGAGTACTGCCCCTGTTCGAAGTCCTTTTCAACCTCCCCCCCTCCTCTAAGAGGAAATATTTGGAGAAACCAGTCAGGCCTGACCTGGAGAGGTGGGAGGAAGCTGGAGAACCTGGCAAAACCCCATGTGAACACAGGGGCAACATGCAGACTCCTCACAGACAGGTGCCTAGTGACCAGCATTAATCATGAAACATGAAACAGTTTCTTGCATGCAACTGAAAGAAAAGCTTTTTTTCTTATTTGTGTGCTGGGATGTGACACCCCCACTCTTTCAGGGTACTGTTTCCGGGATAGGACTGAGGGGGGCAAACCACATCTCTCTGCAGGTCACAAAAACATATCATCAACACAAGACCTTTTAGGAGCTACTTATGAAGAACAACGGACTGTTTCAGGTTTCAGGCTGGAATTATTTGCCACCTTTAGACAATGTGGAAAAGCAATGACGCAATGTCCTCATTTATAATATTGTCAATAATTTTAGTTACCATGTTATAAGAATGATATTGCATCTCTGGAATCAGAAAAGAGCAACCAGATGCCGCGCTCTGGGGGGTCCCGCAGAACCCAACAGCGACCGGATAAAGTAACTGCAACACTTTGGTCTCGAACAGAGACGACTACCAGGCGACCCGATACGAGTATTTAAAACCCTTAACCACACTGACAAAGTCAGCACAGAGTGAACCTGTAACACGAACCAGGGGCTACAGGTAGAAGCTACGGGAAAGTGTGTTTAAAACTGAGAGCAGGAGGCAGGGGGCTGCGGGAGTCTGGAACACACCGCCCGGTCACGGGGCTGAAGCCGATACCCGGGACTGCGTGGCCGGATGAGCTCATCAGCAGAGCTTCTCCGATCAATCACCCCCCCCGCCCGCCCGCCAGCAGCCGGCTGCTCACGGCCGCTCTCCCGCGGTCGATGGGACACAGCTCGTCTTTCTGCTCGGCTCCGGAGGGCCAGGACCTGCAGCAGGTTCCCTGCAGGAAAGGTCACTGCGGCACAGGGTGCCCCCCAGCGCGCCCGCCCCTCCGAAAGGTCGGGGTGTAGCCGTCCCCGCGCTGCTATTTTCAGCAGCGGGGAGGGGCACGCTGTCAGCTCCCGGATGTGTAAAAGGGCAAACGTAAATCTATCTGGGGCGGATTGTCCTCCGGGGTTCTTGGACAGAGAGGGCACACGGTCAGCTAAGAACTACGAAACAGCATTTTAACACCGGAATGGAGGACAGGGGGCGCACACTTCTTAGCGAGGCAACTGAAAATACGTCTGCTTCCCGAAAACAGTTCGGTTTAACGGTTCCGGTCGTTTACACGCTGTAGACCCCTTGCCTGGACTTCTGAATTCGAGTCGTGGGCGTTGACGAGAGAAACACAACGCAAAGTCCGTCAGAGGAAAGCCGAGTTTGTGAAAGCTGGGCAAGTGTCCGTCTGACCGTTCCAGTGATGTAACACTCAGCCTCTTACAGAAACCGATGTAGAAATGTTTTCTCCTTATGAAAGATCACAAGGTTGTGCAATGTGACCCATCAGTTTACAACACAAGAATTTTGCTGTTTCCATCCTGGAATTCTACATTCTTTCGGATTTTATTTCTTTGAATCAAACTGCCATGCCTCCTGGCAGTTTCCTGTCTGTAAAACACTGAATCGTACAGGAGCTGTGAAACACTGCTGTAAGCCCAAGGCCTTTGCCTGTGGGCTCCAGGACGTAGCCTGCCCTTGACTTCAGCAGGGAAGTGTGCAAAGTCACACCGAGGCTCGACAGCTTGGGAGTGAAGGTGCAGACAGCTTACAAATCCCCTCTCCTCTCTCATCTTGTGTTTACGGACCTCAGCCGGGGCTCCTGAAATATCTCCATGAATTGGGTGTGAGGCTGACTGTCAGCCCTGTTTGTGGGCGCTGGGTTCAGCTGCAGACTGAGGCACCTTCTGCATGGTGCTTGCATGCTCCTGTGGGCGCCTACCATCTCCCGCAGACCTGCTGGCAGGGATAATGGCCGTCTCTAAACTGGGCTTCGTGCTGAAGTCGTTGGAAACAGTGTCCTTGAAGTCGGGCATTTCTTATGCTGATGGCTGACGCACAAACACATTAAGTAAGAGTCTCCTTAAGCAGCCAGCTCGGAGCAGCAGTGCCCAGCTGGACAGAGAGCCCATGGACACAGCGTTCCTGCAGCAGTCCAGGTGAAATTACATCCTTTTGCCTCAAATAATCTGCTTTCTGAGCACAGATGGATGTAATATTTTTAATCACAGATATAGTGTTTATATGTAGATGACATAGCTGCAGTAACTACAGAGATGGGTGGCACGGTGGCACAGCAGTTTGCATTGCTGGCACATGGTACTGAGGTCCCTGGTTCAATTCCAGACCCAGGAATCAGACACACTGTCAGTGTGGAGTTAGGGTTAGGGTTAATGCAGGTTTCCTCCCACAGTCCAAAGACAGGCTGGTGGGTTATTTCGCTTCTGGGAAATTTGACCCCGGTGTGGGTGTGTGTGTGTCCTGTGATGGACTGGTGTCCTGTCCAGGGTGTGCCCTGCCTTGTGCTCATTGCCTGCTATATGGGCTATACAGTGTATATATATAGATAGGCTCTGTCTCTCCTGTGACCTTGAATAGGAAGAAGCACTGAGAGAATGGGTGGATTGGGGTGCAGAATAAACATAAACTGACTGCCCTTAAACTTTAATTCACAAACTTGACAATGTGGCTACTTGTGCGTATGCGGTGTGTTTTGAACAGTGTTGAACGAGCTTCAGTCTGAAGCGGTGCTGGCGGGAGTGGCTGAAATGCGTCTGTCCGGGTCTGTGGTTCCGTCTCGGGCTGCAGGGTCTGGTACCGAGGTCACGCGCGGTGCGGGCGGGTCGGACACCGAGGGCAGCGAGCCGGCCGTGACGTCACTGCCAATACGATCACTCCCCCCGTCCAGACACACAGCCGGGTTCCGTCCGCACTGCTGACGCCAGAAGCGCATCTGGCTGCGCTATCAGTAGCAACAGCAGGAGCTGCAGCGGGACCCCCGGTCCCGAGAAACCGACAAGACCCCCCCACAGCTGAGCTGCTAAAGCAGACGATAAACCTCACCCCCCCCTCCCGCGTGTCCAAAACACAGCAGCGTGCGCGAACTGCCCTGCACCTGCAGTCTCCGCATCCGCTCATACCGGGAGCTCTCCTCCTTCCTCTCCACCTGCGGGCGGGGCAGGTGCTCACGCAGCGCAAACGCTTCCAAACAGCGACTCCGCGACCTCCGCGTTTATCAGAGTAAGAATCAGGCGGGCGCCGCTCGGCTGTGCAGGCAGGGGAGTCCTCGCCGGGGCCGAGGGTACTTCACCAGTAACTTTATCTACTCCTTCTCCTCGGTCATGCCCAGACACAACCGGGATGGGCTCAGCCTGGTAACTCTAGGAAGAGCACAATGAATATTTATGCACCTTACTGGTTGATTGATTTACAAGTCGCAGTGGGGCCCACTGAAAACATCCTTTAGGTGCCCATAAATTCGCTAACGCAATTCTGTTCATCGCGCCTCGATTCAAGCCCCGCGCTCTCCGCTGGTTGGCGAGGGGGCGACCCCACGGGGCGACACTCACCTGCTTCTCCGAGACGGGGCTTTCAGGATGCCCCGGGGCAGCCTCTCTCCAGCGCCCCGGCCGGGCTCCGGGGAAGCGCCCGTCTCCGAGACCCTGAGCTCGGCCGCGTAGTTCGCTCCCTGGTTGTTCGCCCAGTAGACGCCCGCCGGCGTCTCGTACCGCACCACGAACTCCAGGCGGGCGCCGTCGAAGAGGAAGGGGGCGGCGAAGGCGAGCTGGAAGGAGAAGCGGTCGGTCTCCCCGTCGCAGGAGCCCGGCACGTAGTCGGCGACGTGGTCGAAGAAGGTCTTCCAGGCGTCCATGGTGCAGCGCACGTACACGGACTTGTGGTAGGACACGTTCAGGACGCGCACGACCCCCCGCAGCGCGAGGGGCTCGTCTTCCACGGCGGACACGCTCTCCACTTCCACTTTGCGCGCCCGCAGGGCTTCCAGCAGCGCGGAGGCGGCGGGGCAGCTGAAGGCGGGGCAGACCCGGCAGCTCGGGGCGGCGGGGCGGCCTCCGTCGCCCTCCTCCTCCTCGTCTTCCTCCCCGCCGCCGCCGCCCGAGCCGCCGTCTTCGTCCGAGTCGAAGCGGGAGAAGCGCCGGACCTCCACCAGCTCCTGCCCCGCGGCGTCCGCGAAGGACACGCGTCTGCTCAGCGAGGGCTGGCGCGTCCGCAGGTAGTCCGCCGTCTCGTCGAAGACGGACATGCCGCGCTTCCTGGGCACCGGCGAGGACCGGGGCAGCAGGCGGGAGCGCAGAGCCGCCTCCTCGTCCTCGTCCTCCTCCTCCGCCGCCGCCGCCGTCTCCGGGATGGTCAGGAAAGACGAGCGCCTCCCGTTGGACATGCCGGTGGTGGCGAGGTCCCCGGCTCTTCCTCCTCTAAGCCCCCCGTCAGGCTGCGACCCAGAGGCGCGCGGGTCTCCGCATGGGCACGCGGGCCGGTCGAGCAGCTCGTGAGCGAGCCGGACAGCGAGGTCGGGGGCAGCGGCTCGCGCCGGCGGACCCCCCCAGCGGCAGATAAAAACGGGGGCTTCTAAATTTAGCCCGAGGCGCTGGCGTTTCCCAGCTGGGCGGAACAACAACACAACAACAACAAAAACAAAACAAAAAAAAAACTGGCACGAATTCAATGCGTCTTGTTTATTCCTCCATCTCTCGGTCTCTCGCCCTCGCTTGATGAAAAGAAAAGCCGAGCTACATCCCCGTGCCAGTCGCCCCGTCTCGCCTCCTGACGGTCTGATTGGGGAAGAGGCGGCGCTCTCCTCACCGGAGAAACCGCAAGCCACAGTTTCCTCTGCTCTGACGTCGGAGCGATTCCCGGCGCTGCAAGTTCACCGGCGATGATCCACTTCCTAGCTTTTACTGGCCGCACAAAATAAAAGATGGCTCCTCAAGCGTTTCTCCCGATCCGCAGGACGCATTTCTGAAACCTGTTTTCCTCCCTGTCGGACAAGCGCGTTAATAAACGCTGAAGGGCAAGCAAGGGCAGTGCGGCCCAGGACAGGGGAGACGAGCGCTGGTGCAAACGCGCCTGTCGGTCACTCTCCCTGGAGCAGACCTGTCTGTTGCCCACAGGGTCCAACCGATTCGACTACTGGAGCGCCGAAAGCAAATTGCGAACGTTTTTTTTTTGCGAAGATTTCGACGATTCATACCTGCCCCTGAAACCTTGTATGCGACATAAGTATTAACTCCTTCTTTGATCATTTATCGCTAAACCTCCTCTTTCTGATCCTGATCAGGGGATCTGTGTGCGATCGTGCAAATTGGAGCGATTCTGTCGCTCAGTCGAACCTCTGCAGGTCTCGCTGGGTCCCCACATCTTCTATAGTGAAATCGCCCCTGTTACTTATCGATAGAGTAACTTTCCAGTAGCCCTCCGTGCGCTGAAGTCTAGAGCTGTCAGGAGAAAGCGCTGCGCATCCACTCGAGTGGTCCAGACAAGGAAACCACACAATTTCACATAGTGCAATGACTGCGATAAGCGCCGACTTAAATTATCGGGCTCAGAATTGCAGTTCAGTTACTGGGGAAAGCAACAGCAAACAAGGCCCATGAATCGCAGCGAAACCTTTGCAGCCACAGTCGGCCCTGCCGTTGCTTCTTCCCGGACGCCGGCCCTGCTTGTTCTCAGACTGAATGGCGGTCGTTTCCTCCTGAGCTCCGCCACGCTGGCTGTGTGCTATTAAGGTCTTTGAAAGGCAGGCTAGCCGCGCCGTGCTACCGTGATCTCTCTGCGCGGAGTCTGGTCTCCGGGACTTGTTCAGCGGCTCTCCGCACGGTGAATTAGCACCGGGGCGAAGCGCTATATCCGGGTAGCGCCACGCTAAGAGGATCTGTGTTCTAATTAGCTAATGAGCTGCGAGGAGCACTTGGGCCTGTATTGTCCCCATCAGCGCGATCAGGTGCAGTGACTTCTCTGGGATAATAATAATAATAATAATAATAATAATAATAATAATAATAATAATAATAATAATAATAATAATTGCTTACACTTATATAGCGCTTTTTTGGACACTCCACTCAAAGCGCTTTACAGGTAATGGGGATCCCCTCCACCACCACCTGTGTGCAGCCCCACCTGGATGAGCGCCAGAACGCTCCCCACACACCAGCTCTCAGTGGGGAGGAGAGCAGAGTGATGTAGCCAATTCATAGATATTCATAGGATCTGTGGTGGGATTGAACCGGGTTTCCTGGTGAAGCCCCCCGCACAGGCAGGCATTCAAGAGCACAGCGGTCTTCTCGATCGAGTACGATCCGTTTATGCGGGATCCCAACGATCCCGGCCGCCCGCTGCCCGCGCCCCCACGCTTTGGCTAAGCGGTACCCCTAGCGGGACCCCCAGACCCGAGAGCTGCTTGTATCCTCAACAGCGAACTCCGAATTCAGTGCCCCTCTGCGCTCTGCACTTTTTACTCAGCTTATTGTCCCGTGCGTTCATTGTTCAGTTTTTCCCGCCGTGGGTTAAAAAGATATAAAAAACTGACTTTCTTTATTGTTAGTTTAGGGATGTACCGTGCACATTGTGTGAGAGTGCTGTCCGTTGTGCTGTGCACGCCCCGAGAGAACAGCGCAAATACGAGTCCCTGGGCACATGTCCGGACGGCAGATAAACCCCTCTCAGAGTGTTCCGCTTCTGCTAGATCAGTGGGCTTTAGTGGCGCCTCCTGGTACCAGTTCTGTTCCAGAAACGCAGCTAAGGCGAACCCGGACGCGGTATTCTGACGTCACTCGCACTGCCGAAGGAGCAGCTGTTCGCCACGCGTGGACGCCTCACGCTGCAGGGTGTGCACACCCCGCCTCGGGCAGCGCGGAAGCTCAGCACTCCCCACACCCGTCCTGCGACTGTTTTTACAGGCGGTATCGATCATTCCACTCACGGTGGAGACAACGCGACGGAACCCGAAAAAGACGAGAGCGTGGAAACGATCCACCGGCAGGGGGAGCTCCTGGGGGCCGCGCTCTAAAAACCCAAACTATAATGTGTAGGTAAAATACTTTGCGGATACTGAAGTATTTATTGACCGCGACCCCCTGTTCGTGCGGTTGGTTTTACCTTCATTTGAACATATCTGTCTTTTGACCATCTCGTTGGAAAATAGGATTAAATCAATTTCAATAGGAACACACCACAGTATTGAATACAATTTTTAAACAAATTGCCCAGATCGATGATAAAATCAGTTTCATTAAGAGGCTGAGAAAGATGCACACCCAGTTTTCAATATGAAACCTTCTAGAACAGGGTGTTACACCAGTTACTGCCTACAGCCGAGACTCGCCTGGGTCCAGCTCTGTGGTTCCGACGTTCCGGCGGCGCTGGGTGCAGCTGGGCCAGGAGGATGTGGTTCTGAACAGTCTGGTGGCGCCGCCTTCGTTTGCTCCAGGTTTCTGGATTAGGTACAGAAAAGGAGTAAGGACGTGCCTTCATACGTCACAAATACAACAAGCGCTTCTGTAGTGTGGCGTCATATGACGTCATGCTGCGTACCGTCTATGAGTCACTTTATCCTCGTTTCAGGGCAGGTACAAATTGTGCTTAAAACTACATTTATATTGCAACGGGTATTCCAAGTAACTGTTAATATAACGAGTGTTATTTCTGCCTTAATCCTTGGGAGTATCTACTCTTATTTGTAACAATAGCGGAACAAGTTTCCTGCACGGAAGTTCAGCAGAGTAAGTATTTTCGAGTATCTGTTCTCTCTCTGCAAGGCCACGCAGTGCAGCAGAAACCGGCCCAGCTGGACCCGCAGCTGTTGTACTGTGCCCTTGAGCACGATACTTCACTCCAGTCGCTTCAGGAAAATACCGAGCTGTGCAAATGGGAGTTTCCCGTTAACTGCTTTAAATAAAAGTGTCCACCGCATTCATTAATAATATTAACGTCGCGACACGGGCATCGCTCAGTCACATCCCGCCCCTTTCTTGCCGTTACGCTTTTCTGTTGTGGACGAGGTTCAAGACGCTTTAAAACCTTATGTTTTTATTAAGGCCTTTGCCCCCAATCTCAGCCAATTGCTTAATTGGTTAATTTAGAAACACGGTTTGCTTCCATTGCATGACGTCATTTCACAAAACAGCGTCGTCAGTATAAAAGCGTATGGGGGGGAGTAATACCTGGTTCTGCCACAAGGCGGCGCCTTTGTCTGTTAAATCAAGGGGAGGATGTGAGCAGAACGGCTGTGCTTTCAGATGCCCCTGTCGCAGCAAAGGCAAATTACTAGGGAGTGGCTGGGTACTGCATAGCAGTATATCTATATAGTGTACAGTAAGCTCTCATGTTACAGTCCTTGACTTGTGTCACTTTTGATTTCAGTGTGATGTTGAGTGTGATGATCTTGAGCTCATGCTGTAGCTGTGTAACTTTGCAGTCCATGGGGAGATGGAAACTGTGTGTTTAAGTACAGTATAGACACCAGCAGCCTCTCCTGCCCTACCTGCTCCAGGCTAGAAGGCCATAACGAGGAGAGCTGGCTCTGAGCTCTCACTGTGAGACCGATTGTGTACCTAAAGCCTTGGCAACCACTGTCTCTCCTCTCCCTGCAGGGCTCGCTCCAGGCGATGTCAGCCTGTCTCTCTCTCCTCTCTCTGTCTCTCCCGGCAGGACTCGATCCAGGCGATGTCAGCCTGTCTCTCCCTGCAGGGCTCGCTCCAGGTGAAGTCAGCCTGTCTCTCCCTGCAGGGCTCGCTCCGGGCGATGTCAGCCTGTCTCTCTCTCCTCTCACTGCAGTGGTGTTAGGATGACAAAAGGTGAGTGAACCCACAATCATTTTCCTTTCTGCCTGTACAGAGATCTGACACTATGAGCTCATATCAGCCAGTGAAATGTATGCAATATTTTTCAATATCTCAATGGAACCTGGAGTGGTGTGTGGGCCTGAGTGCTGACGCAGTATTGTGGCTGGAATGTGCTGAGTCAGTAAACATGAAAGAAAATCGTGTTGAAACATCTAGCTGTTATTATTGTTATTTCACCGCATGGTGGATCACATCTTGTCAGTAACCCCAGCTGTGTGTTTCTTCAGGCAGAGTCACACATAAACATAACCTGTTGGCTTGTCTTTGTCATTCAGAAAGCAGACATCTGCAACTGATGGGGAATTTAAACCACATGTGGGAGTTGTCTCACATCCCCGATGCATTTTATAAGAAAACAACAACAAAAGAACAAAGCAGCCCGCCTGTTTCACGTCTCTGCATTTCCACACGCACACCCAGAAATAGTGCTCAATCGAAAACCAGAAGAATGGCTGTTCCATCAACGCCCGAAGGGCATCATTGAACAATAAGTGTGGCCCAGAAGCCATGTCTTTTCCTCTTTCAGTAGGGAGGGGCAGTTCTGAGGTGCAGGGTGCCAACATGGGCGGCAGCTCTGCAGGACTGGAGCAGTGAGGAGTCGTGCAAGAATCCGTTGGCACTGAGGCCTGAAGCGAGCAAGGCTGCGAGGAACCTGCGCCAGCCAGTTCGATCTCCCGAGCGCAGTGGCAGGGGGGCGCCGGGGCCTCGCGCCCGTGTGAGCTGCCCGCTGGCCCGGCTGCCCGCTGGCCCCTTCCACTCAACCGGCTGGAGCCGCGACGCCGCAGGGAAACCGGACACGCTCTCGGGGCCGCCTTTAATGCCTCTCGGTTCGCTCATCAGAGCGCACGGGGAAGTCCCTCAGCACGAACCCGAAAACGTGGAAGTGCAGAGATGAGAAAGCGCTGGCATCTGCACCAGTTCGCACGGGCACAGGCCCCGCGGGTGCCGAGTCGGAGGGATTGTCCCCTTTCTGAGCGCTGCTGCTGACGCCGCCCTGTGCCGAGGGGGGGACGGAGGACAGACAGAAGAGCTCAGGGCCTCCTCTGGCCTGCTGGGCTTGTGGCGGGCCGGACCGCCGTGCGCCGGCCCCTCCTGCGGTATCGGAGGCTGATCTGGTCTCCCTGGGCTCGTGAGGAAGGCCCTCTGCTCGTTTCCAGTTGTGAGCCCACTTCGGCTCACTTGTTTTGTTAAGCCTCAGGCTTGGGGCGAGATTAGAATAGCCTTAAAAGATTCGGGATGCGGGCGGGCGTCCTGGCGCAGTTGTTAGCGTCAGTCCTGGACCCGGGGTGCTTTCTGTGTGGAGCTTGCATGGTCTCCCCATGTGCGTGTGGATGTCCTCCGGGCACTCCGGTTTCCTCCCGCACTCCAGAGACATGCTGGTGGGTTAATTGGCTTCTGGGACGACTGGCCCTGGTGTGTGCATGTGTCTGTGTGCCCAGTGATGGA